GAGGTCCACGGGGAGGTAGTCTCAGCGGTTTCCTGAAACGGTGACTATACACATGGAACAAAGCAGTAGTACCAACCCCCTTTAAGTGGCACGAAATAACGTCGGTGATGGATGCCGGCCTGTAGTCCCTAGCCAGTTCATGGAGTCACTGGCTCAAGAAAGCATGATAAACCTTGTGCAAATTGCTTCAACCAGGGTTCAGGTGCATAGCTTGCCAAAGGACGGGCCAGCTCACTCTGAACTTCGGGACGAGCACTCGCGGGTGCCACGAAGGCGGAGACTGGGGCAAGGAGTGCGAGCAAGGCAAGGACGCGCATGGCAAAAAGCACTGGACAGCTATAAGCAGCCGAATCTTTGTCTGGGGCTTTGGGTACTGTCACTGGAGCCAAAAACAATCAGTAAGAGATCTCATCTTGAATCTAGTCTTTTCACTCAGCAGCCCCTGGACCTGGTCTCCTACCAGTGTAGTTCTGCTTGCACCTTGTTGTGAGACGATCTAGGTTCTTATCCGCCCATGTGCCCATGGGCGCTTGCTCTCGCAAAGTCTGATGCACGACCTGATCTTCTCTAAGCCTTAGGTGTGATTCTTCTCACAGGAGAGATCAGGATAAAGAAATTACATACAAGTTTGTTTTTGAGGGGGGGGGTAGGCCGCTAGAGGTGCGGTAGGAAGTAGCTAGATAGGTAGGTAGGTAGGTAGTTAGTAAGTAGCTTAAGCTGGACGCAGGATAGCTCCCGCACTATTCATCTGGCTCCTAGATTTTTAGGGAAACTTGAACTTATCGTTGTGTATTGTGCTAGTTGCGAGCCTCCCTGCTTGGATAGGCCTCGACAAATGGTCTACCAGAATACACCCGGCCCAAACAGCTGCATGCAATTCTAGGCATCCATAGAGAGACCACGCATTTCCGTCCTTCGCTACCGAGAACCCGTCATCCAATATTCGTCAACTATAGTGTCAAATCCCTTCGGGAACTCTCCCGCCAATCGTGCCCACATTTCACTGGGCAGTTGGGATTTGCGTGGGATAGGCTGTCCTCCGGGTGGGCAGGACAAACTCGCCATCAGGATGATAGGAAGCTCCGAAGGCTCCTGCAGTCATTCTCCACTTGTTCAGTGCGGACGCGTCGCCACGTGGTCGGTACTTCCAGGCCAGCGACGCACCCACGGACCCAGCACGCAGTGCAACCGCAGAGTCGGAGTGGCCTTACTTGCGAAGCGTCTGGAGGGTCAGCCCCCCGCAAAGGCGATGTTTTCGGGACGAGTGAGTGAGCCTTGGAGGCGAGCCGCCAGCGATGCATGTTCGCCAGCGACTGCCGATCACAACAGTCGCTCGATGTCTCCAGTCCGTCGCTCGATCCTGTGATCCGCTTCCGGGATCTCTGGTGGCAGGGCGCCAAAGGAGGCGAACTGGTGTGTTTTCCTCTGGTCCTTCTGGTGAGGCACATGGTTTTCATGGGCTGCACTTCGCCAATGCGAGGTTCGAGGGTGGACTTTCCCAAATCATGAAAGGGATTAAGGGAAGCCAATTGGACAGCCCAGGCCCAGTTCTGAGTTTTTTTGCAGGATTACAGCATCTTCGGAATAAAGAAAAAGAGCCTGTACAGCATGAGCTTGTAGAATTGAAGGGGGGAGGGGCTGAAAAAAGGAATTGGGAGAGTTCCATCCAAACGTCAGCAGGAATTGTCCACTTTTGTCAGCAGGATCTGTACCAACTTCAGATTCAAAGCGTCTTCGGAGCAACCCTGACGAGTTCGATGTATGTACATTCCACAGGACCGTGGAAGCAGCTTCTGCAGCTGTGTCTCCAGGATCGTGATCTATGAGGAATCATGTTTGTTAAGAACTCCCTGGCGGCAACTCCTGAGATTTGGCCAAAGTACTGCATATATATGTATTAAACGTATAAATATTAATATCATTACAGTATAACTATGGTACCGATAAAAAAATATATATAATAAAATTCTTTTATATATGATTAGTCATTAAAGATATAGTAACAGTATACACATACGTGAGCACAATATATACACAACTCCCAAATCTCCAAATCAACTATATATATAGCAGTATATACGGTCGGCCAAGCATGGTCAATAATGCTAGGTGCTACCCTCAAAAACTGAAACTTCAATCAGAATAGCAGCTAGTCACAACAGCTGTGGCAGCTACAATTCGGTGTTGATTCTTGGTGTCTTGATCCGATTGAGATAACGTAGTTTGATACTTATATATATATATATAATATAGTTATATATACTTTGGTAGAAACCGAATGAGAACGGAAGCTCAACGTTCAAAGTTCGCAATCAAGGAGACTCTCCTGACTCAGTCAGCCAAGCCTATTGAACGCTCTGAAGCTCCGTGCGCATCATGCCTCTCTGCTCCTCTTCATGTGCAGTCACGCTATGCGGATCGTGGCTCCAATTCAACTGTAGCACTGATCCATTTCCACTATGTGGCCTGGCATTATCGAAATGGACGACCTGGCCTGGCATTCCTATGTGAACATTGTCCACCGTAATGCCCGAACAGAAGCTTTTATCAGGCTTCCGGCTGTGCTGCTGCGAACTTCAGCAGTGTGATCTGCACTGATGAGATGAATTGGCAGCTTCACTCCTTGTACACAAAATCCCTTTTGTGGCAGGTGACATGGTGGTTATGGTTGTGAGAGGTTTGAGAGTCATTGGGGTTGGGAAACTGCAATGAGAAGGGAAGCTCAACGTTCAAAGTTCGCAATCAAGGAGACTCTGCAGATTCAGTCTGCTGAGCCTATTGAACGCTTTGAAGCTCCGTGCGCATCATGCATCTCTGCTTCTCTTCATGTGCATCACTGAGCTCACGCTATGCGGATGCTGGCCCCAATTTCATCTGTAGCACTAAAAATTGGCCCCTTCCAATGTCCAACGAGCCGCTGAAACTCCCACCCCAGAAACGGCCATAGATTCAATCTGGTGCCCTGGGAGCAGTTCCATGATCACCCCTCTCATGTCAATGACCAGTAGAATTACCCACATCGAATGAAGAGTGCCAGGTTCACTTGGCCTGGAGACGCGGGAGTTCAGTGGCTCACTTCCGCTCATAGCATGTGCCAATCCGGAGACGTGCGTCTCGTGAGTGCAAGGACTGCTCCAGGACCATGGTCACCAACGTCTGACGGCGAGGACCATACATCGAGGACGCACAGCGAGGACGCTGGGTTCACATGGGTTGACTGATCACTGGCAACCGATGCTGGGTCTGAATCCCTTGAAAGTAGGTACCCTGAAGGGAGATGGCTCCCTCCCTCAGCCCGTGATGTGAACTGCGATCTATTTGTGGTGCTTCCGAACTCCACGAAACGCACCGAAGATCCATCCACCGCACCGGTGGGATCTGGCCTTGCCACCAGTGGGATCCCGCTGGCTCCGCCACTGCAGCGCATGTTCCAGAACACCGTGTTCCGGCACGAGGGTCCAGGTCACCTAGCGGGTAACCGCCGCTTTTCATCAAATCTACGCGGACCGTTAGTGCGGTTTTTGGATGGTTTTTGGATGATGGGCCGATGGGCGTGAGCCGGTTTTGCCACCAGTGTGGACCACGGGTTTCCTCTCTTGTTTTCAAACCATATGCACCCTTTCAATAGGGGGGGCTTTCCAGTGGTCTTCCCCTACCACCAAAAGGGTTCCAGTCCCGTAGCTTTTAAATATATGTCCTTGAAATAGGGATTGAATCCCCCATGCTTTAAGACTGCTTTTCTTCCGATTCGTCAGGATAGCCACCAGCAATGGACAACACACACACAAGCATATTTTGGATTTGTCTGGCCCCCCTCAACAAGACATTGCCTTTCCTTCTGCTTTGTGTGATGCTTGGTGAGCTGAAAACTGTCTCCTCTCTCTCTCTCTGTGGGCAACCCTTTGGCTTGCCCTTTATGTCTTGATGGAGGTTTGACACTTGCTCAACCTCTTTGAGGGCGTTCAAGACTCTTAAGAACTCCGCAACAAGAGCAACCAGCATGTCCAGGCCTTAGCTTCATGTCTCACCGTGGATTCCAATTGGGTGCCGTCTTCCTTGTACCTGTTTGTTGATTGAGAGATGATGACCTTTCCAGAAAAGATTTATCCTAAAGCTGGCCCTCTTTTCATCTCTCTTCCACATAATTTCTCCACTGATGATGTCTCTCCCTCACCTGAGTGCTCCGTGGCAAGTCCATGGAGTAGGCGATGAACGGCGATGAGTCCAACAAGTTGTCACGCAGTCCTGGTTCCGCGGGTTGTCCCGTGTTAAATGGTCCATGAGTTGTTGTGGGTTGGTGTTTCCAACACAACAACGGTAACTTTTAACACACACTGGCACAACAAAATCTTCTTGAAGGACGTCACGTTGTGGCCGCGACATCCCAGGCTCGACTCCTGGTGAGGACTATACAGTATATACAGTATAGGACATAGTCTCCTTGTCTGTTTGACGATGGAGGAATGATAACTGTTCGTCACCACAAGTGCCAATTAACTATGCCTATGCCATTCGTGCCATCTAAGTACTGTAAGTACTTCCTTTGCCTTCAAAGCCCAGAAATATCAGGGGGCCAGCTCTAAACCGGAGGTTTCATCTCTCTGAGCTCGGGAAAAGCTGCGCTCCTCGCTTCTTCTTCTGCGCCTTTCGCCGGGTCATCATGGGCGGAAGGACCTTGCCACCTGGCGGGTGGTGAGCTTCACCGGTGATTCATCGGCTCCCCAAACTGGCGAAGCCAATACACCACTAATGTGAGATCTGTAATTGAATGAAGGGGAAAGAGGCAACCTGGGTTGTCTCGAAAAAATGAACTTATATAACATTTCAAACATTTCAGGAGGACCTGCTTCGGACGAATTAAACACTAAAAATAGAGCCAACCAATTACATATATCACTATACGTGGTGTTGCTTATAGAGAAATCCCGTCGATATCAGGGTGTTGTGGTTGGGGGTTATTTTAATCAATATTCTACATTCATTATGATTATGCGAGAACTGCTGGACCTGGCAAACAACTCACTTGTGACTCCTGATCTGTTCTGATCCTGAAACTGAGCCAAGCCCCACAAGCAGTGGGAGGTAGGAAATATAAGAAAACCAATGAACACGGGTTTTGGGGGTCCTAAGGAACCCTAAGTAATCGTAGTCTTAAGCTATAACGCGTTAATGTGTGGGTGAACAAAAACTACCTTAATCCAAACACCTCACTGGAAGGAGTTGATTGTCGTTTGCGCCTGGCTGGTCTGCTGTGCCTCGAATTTTGGGACCATGCCCACACTTTCTGCCCTCCGGTGTGCCGGTCGATCAACAGCCTTCGAGCCCCACATCGAAGAGCCCAGTGCGCCAGCCGATGGTCAGCCGACCTCCCCCCGATTCGTCAGTCGATGAGACCCAGGATGTATGGAATTCGTTTCACCAAACCCTATGGATCCACATATCCCTCTGAACCGTGATGTCGGCGCGTTCGGGGCGCTCCAAACAGCTTCCACAGTAAGGGGGTACATAGATCCCCAGGGAAAGTAAACACTTATATACATATACATATATATATATATATTATATAATAACAAAACGCATTGGATGACTTCGATGACATCTGCACATTCCATTAAACATTGATGTTGGTATGTATACATGTTGTGTATATATATATATATACACACACTATATCCGTCCTTCAAGGAAACATCATTGGTTTTATATTATTATGCGATGCTTGCTAACTGCGCATGCGAAACTACCAGCCACGTATTTGTTTGTTTGTTTGTTAAATGTATGTTTCATGGAACATATTGAACAACTCCTCATGGTAATACACGCCGTCATGTGAACCTGAGCCAACAGGTCAGACAGGGGGTGTGCTTGCTGACACAAGGTCAAGCAGTAGATGGTGCATGTGATATGGTACAACGCGAAGTGGCTCACTTAGCAACAAAGGAAGCGTTGTCTCTCCAAGTGTAAGTAAAAAGCTTCCAAGGTGGTTTCCCATTCCTCCCCAACCACCCATCCCCTTGGACAGCTCATTCCAAAAATACGGTGACATGGGCTGCAAAAAGCTTCTGCTCTTTGCTTCTCCCCCAAGTTCCTGCAAGAACCAGCCAATGCCACCCACATCATACCACATCCAGTTTCTATCAATCCACCCTTCTTGCTTTCACTATCTTTCACCCCTGCCAGTGCCAGCGCACCTTGCTGCGTGGGCGGGAGCCTGGTCTGCGTGACGCCTAGGGAGGAACCCAGCTGGTTCCAGCTAGGGCCGCCTGCCGAGGGAGCTGCTCCCAGGAGTTGCGAGTTGTGATTAACAAAGGCAACAGGTGGATGTGCTGCCTGCCGTTTCTGAGAGTCAGTTATTGGGGGTCCGCGGCTACTTTGGTTTAACGTACTGTAATCATCTGTAATCCACATCCACAAAAACAACTACTGTATGTTTCATGAGTATCTGAGTATCGCATTTGCATGCATTTGCTGCATCCATTCATGTGAGAGAGGTTTAAAACAGTGTCCAACTTGAGACAACTGAATAACAGCAATGAATACCGGATGGAGATCAGTGGTTCTTTGGGCCAATCATTCATCCGTGTCAATTCATCTCTTTAACTGAAAAGGCGTATGCGCAGTCCGCACAGCACTGAAGCGTGCCGTCCGCTCCCCGCTCCTCGGCCGTGCCGAACCTGCTCCCTGCTCCCGGCTCCCCCGGGCCTGCTTCGGAGTCGAAGGGCCCACCGCAGCCCCAAAGGAAGCGATAGAAGGCCCTGGCGTTCTGAAAGAGTTTGATCCTCGGAGTCGGGCGACCCGGCCCAAGAAGCGCCGACCCAGGCGGTCAAAGCGTTCGCTCGCACCAACAAGCCAGACCCACACAATTGACTAGAAAGCCCATAGTGCTGTTGATTGCCACCAGTAGCCTGATGATCCTTATGATCCTAAAGTTCCCGGTATTTTGGTGGTGACCTTGTGAATCTTCCTCCACTAAGCACTGTTTTTTCGAGCGGATGAAGTTCCGGCCCAATGAACAGGCCAACCTGGACCGCCCGCCAATCACCATGTCTTTTTGTGCGTGTCCAATGCATCACAGGTCAGCCAGGTTCGAAGGAAACTCTTCATCCATGAAGTATATGGAGTTACGGTCTATGCACCTATGGAATCCTATGGAGTAAATATGCGTTTAATGGAGTATGTCTATGGAGGACGTACTCCATAAACTCACTCACAGATGTTCATGGCCTGATTTCCAACTTCTGACCCCTAGAGCCAGCTGGTCTTGTGCTCAACTGGTCTTCTCTTTGAACCTTTCACATTCTCCTACGTTCTCCAGCCCTAATCACTTGGACCAAGTCCACTAGTCCAAGGACCGCGGTGGTGTTGGGCGTGTTTGCTTTCGGTGTTTCGCTGTCACCGCGCCGCGGTCGGTGAGCGACATAAACTCCCAAGTGTCGCTCCCACTTCCGTCAGGATGTCCAGTCGCTCGTCGTCACCTCGGTCGAGACCGGTGTCTGGGTTGGTCGGTGGGTTCAGCGAAGAAACAACGTTTCGCTGGATCGAGGATTACGAGATGTTACGAGTACCATGTGGTTTATCATGGTTTATCCGAGTTTTGCCCCTCGAATGCAAATATGTATGCTGCACACAGACCACATCAAAAGCGTTGGCAAAGCTGGGAGGTGGACTTGATGCATGACACAACAAAAAGAGAGAGAGATGAGAATGAGAAGGCTGAAATTTTGCTTCTGCAAGTTCATTTCGACTGAAGCCAAGGCCAACAGTTGAGATTTGCACCAACAATTCAGGATCCAAAAGGTGCAAAGTGCAAACAGGTGCAAATAGGTGTTTCTCAAACTTCTCCGCGAAACACATATTGGAAGAGATGAAAAAGAACGTCGGCCAGGTCCGCTGTTCGGTGCGGAGAAGTTCCCAGGATGGAGCGTCGTCGTTCCCCGGATCGCCCGGCCTGAAAAGGGCCTTGGGGCTGTTCGGCCGTTCCTTCGCACCAGAAATGGCCAATGGGCTTTCCTGGAAACCTTTGAGACCGTCTCAATGGCCAGTGACTCAATCGTTTCTTCTTCAAGTTCTTCGCTTTCCAGGTGTGCAATTGCCGAAAGCGCCCAAGAACAAAAACACATACAAAACCATTGGCGACGCACGGTGATCCAGTTTCAAATGCAGAATTGGTTTTGCTATAGATTCGCACTCCAACCCGAGCATCAAGTCTTCCACTCAAAATCTACTCTCTCTCTCTCTCTCCATCGCCCTCTCCAGGAGACTAGCCTTTGGCTAAGGTGTCGCCGTCCGCTGAACCCCATCGCACCAGAACGTCACCACATCTGCCACCCCCTACCCGGCCTGTACTTTGCAGGCCCATAAAGAGCTGATAACCCTGGACCTTGTCTGTGCGTAGCTCCTCCGTGACGCTTGAATCGGGGCCATCAACTTCTTCTGGACCATGAGGGGGAGTCCAAGCTTCATGTGGAATGCAGTACAGTGGTCAATCCCAAAGAAAATTGCACAAACCAAAAAGCCAGTGACATCTAGAGTGGCAGTCGTGGTCTAAAGTAGAAAGAGTTTCAGAATGTATCTTGACAAGCGCATCCCTCTCTATCCATTTGGCGGCCACCTACCTGCCATCACCACTTGGTTTTGCAGCGCGCATCCCATCCCAAACCGTGTCCAAAAGCACCAGCCTGACCATCGACCATCTGGGCATTGAGCCCCCAAACCGGCTCTCCAAGTTGCACATAATGGTGGATTTTTATACAACAGCTGGGCTTGGATATAGTGGGCCTTTCAAACGATTCTCTCCCAAATGCATATGCATACAAGGTCTTGGTGGCCCAACTAAGTGCAATACACAAGCACAGTTGTATACATGCAATCGACTTGGATCTACACGTTCACTGCCTCTTGCGATTTGCATCTTGGGATGTCTTGGGATTTGTGTCATCTACTCTTCAAATCACCGTAGAACAATCATTGTTCGGTTGGTGAGATGGGTCAATGCTTTTATCCCTGGAAAAACCATGAAATACCTTGAACAAAAAAACATGTTTGAATATCGATGAACATGTATTGTATATGTGTTAATGTACCATGTGTTAAATAGTATATACATATTATCCGTGTGTGTGTATGTGCCCTCAATCTAAGAATCTCCAGCATCCGAAGCGCATCCGCCTTCCGGAAGCCCAACTCCAGCGCGCCCCGCGGGTACAAGGGGCTGCATCTGAGGTGGCGTCCGTTCCGAACCGATCAGTCGAGAAAACAGGTTCGCGGACGAGGATGTGGGTTCGATCAAGAAAAAAGAGAGCAAGTAGGAGACGAACACATGATAAAGAGCTGATAGGCCAACTTCTTCCCTTTCTGAAGCCAACTTCTTCCCTTTCTTGGGCTTGAGAACTCAAAGCCAAAAGTTGATTGGTCTTCTTAAGTCTCGGCCTGTTGCTTTGGAACTTATCCGGGTCATTTCACGGCGCGAAACTTCAGGTCCTTCGCCATCCCACCAGCATACCACTTTCACTACCGCTTTCCCTCCCCCCCGCCTCTCACCGAACCCGTTCCGCACGCCGGTCAACAGGCGACGCGAAAGAAGTGGCCTCAAGCCGGCACGGCTTCGCATCGGTCCCAGGAGTGGCAGGTCCAGCACGCCGAAGTCGGCGATGAAGCCTTCGAGACCGCTCGGCGCGAGCGGTCGCGCGGCGGATCGCGACGAAGATGCGGAGAGCGGTCCGCCGGGCCGAGCTGGGACATCGCATGAGAAGCCCATAGAATGTGGGTCAGGAGGATGGAGGTCCCTTCAAAATCAGCATCCCATTGAAAAGGATCTATTCCCTATATAGACGTCCCTGGACTGAATCCAATGAGATGGTGGCATACTCGATTCATCCACTGTGAAGAGATATGTCAAAAGTGAATGTCCCCGGCCGATAGAAACATTGATCGTGATCAAATGATTGTGGTCAAGTGACTATCACTAGGAAAACATTCATTAAAACTCTTATTCCAACATAAGGCACAAAGGCAAAGCACCACGAAAAATACCCATGAGGAAATCACTGGCAAGTGCTTGAGACACTTCCTCTATCTCCTTGGCTCCCGGTTTAGCAAGGACATATGATGAAGATTGATGAAGTATGACGAATACCCCAATCTCCTTGGCTCTCTCCTTTAGCCACCGGCTAATTTAGGTCAATGCGGAGGTTGGTTTCTGCAGCCGTGGCGCTACAGCTTCCCGACGTTCCATTGAGACCTCTGCGTCTCCGGCGCAGGAGACGAACGAGTCGGTTGAGGAGCACCGGAGGAGCGAGTTCGGAGGACGGGGTGGTGTTTTAGTTCGTAGTCATCTCTATCTCCGATGTTTCTTGTTTATCTTCGGCTCACCTCTTTTTTGGTGTGAGGAAGAATCGTTACTCAGCCCCCCAAATGGCCCAGCCGATGACTTTCTTTATTGGAGAGTACGTACATACAGTATGGGTCACATCATACCCATATTGGAGAGTACGTACAGCATGCTGTGACCCATGCGCAACAGACCGTGTGGACGCTTTTTGCTACAGGGTCTTGGGGTTCGTGTCGCGACGGTTAGACACTCGAAGCAAAAGTGGGTTGGGCCCAAATTAAGGAACAAACTGGACCACCAGGGATGTCATCAGAGTCTCCTTCTAACACTTGGTTTCATTACCTTGCCACACGCATCTTCACCGCCCTCTGACCTTCCCCGCGATCTTCGCCAGCGTTTGAGTGACCGTGCCTTGTGGCCCTAGGCCCAGGTTCAAACCCAGGTCGGTCACCAATGGCAGCGTGTTGTCAGACTTCAAATCGTCCAAATCCAACCATGCCTGGACGTTCGGCGGTGGTGAAGGAGGGCTCCAGTGAGGAACGGGTGAGTAGCAAATGAGCTGTATGGAAACTAGCTTTTGAGACGCACAGTGACCCCTATCCCACGCACAAAGAAACATCCCAGCTCCCAAACACGCGAAAAACTAAAATATTTGTCTGAAGTGGCCAGCAATTTGGGAGGGGACGAAGGTAGAAAACGCGATGCAAAAGAACAGCCAGAGGAACACCCTGAACTGCGAGATGTTTCAAGTTGATTTTTCAGTGGATAAGTTTTGGATAGTTTTGGGCTTTTCCCTTACCTTGGAGGAGATTTAAAGAAGTGGAAGGCTTGCAACAACTTGGCAATGGTGATCAATTCGAGAAGAGGTTTCAAGATTGATCGTTTCAAAAAGCCTCAAATCATCCAAAAGGAAGCACCTTGCAAATGTTCTCTTGGTGAAATCTAACGTCTGTTTTTAAACCATGTGCTGTGTTAGTGTGGCTGCATTCCACTAGTGTGTGTCCTTAAGATTTGGAGCTATGACGAGCTATGTTAGTATTAAAGCACAGTGGAAACAAATCTGGGAATTCTTAGGCAATGTTGGACGCTTTTGAGTCAAAAATGGAACATTGCAAGATCACACCAAAAAGGCCATCAGGCAGATTCCAGCATCTGCTTCGGTGCAAGAACCATCAATCCATCTGCTTCGGATGTGTTAGCGGTTAGCGTCCCAAACCACAGGCTCTCCAGACACCGGTGCTTTCCTGATTCCCCACCAGGTCACCGGTGCTTTTCTGTGAAAATCTGCTTTGAGACCCGTGTTCTACGGTACATTTCACGGGAGTATATGTATACATCATTTACACTCTTCACTAGCATGGAAGTGGAAGATGGACGAACATGGTCCCTTGGCAAACGACTTTCCTTTACGAACAGGGAGGTTTTCCGTGATGTGTTCGTCTGCAGTCTTCGGTCCTCACACACCGAGTCTCCGCACCGCCGTGTGAATGAAGGTTGGCCGGAGTCCAAGTCCGAGTCCCAGGAGCAGCAGTGCAGTTCCTGCCAAACGATTCTTGGAGCTAGGTGACGAAAATCTGGCACCTCCTCGCTATGTCATTTGTGAATGTTTGCTGATGAGGACGGGACGTTTCGATTCTCTTCATATGTTTGAGCCTTTTTTGATGAAATGTGGACGCATGTGGACGCGTTCAAAGAGTCACCTGCATGGCGGCGTGGCGGCGTGACCCTGCACAGATGTTAGTAAGCCATGATGCATGCGGAACCCCTGTGTGAAGGACGGTCCAATTTCAGGAGCACCACACTGTATTGGTTTGGGGGCTGTCCCCCATCCCCCATGGCCATCTTCCTCAAAAGCGCAGCCAAGGCGTAAGAATGGGCGGTTCCCGTTGACCTGATTTTTCGCTCCATTCGCCCGGCTTGGGAGCTCTTCGGCCCAACAAAGAGCTGGCTGCCCCGATTCTCCGTCTTCGCTGATTCAGTGGGAATCTAACTGAGAAAATATACACGAGCTTTTGAAGTTAGCTGCGCAACAATCAGAAGAACAACCCCCCACCTCACCTCCACGACCAAAGACCGAACACCTTGAGAAGAATAATATTTGCCGCAAACACAAGACTTAACCAATTATACAACTTATAATATACAGAGTCTGTGGCACCAGTATGGTTCACTCATGGTTCACTCTAAACACGGTGATGACTCGTGATGACGTGTGACCTTTCACCTCTTGACCCCAGAGATCAACACGAGTCCTTTGCTACTAGGAACAAGTGCATCGCTACTAGTAACAAGTGCCTTACTAGTAGTAACAAGAATAACTTAATTGGAATTGCAAATACTAGCAAAGGAAAGGTCATGAGTCACTCCTCGACATCTCCTCCCCATGGCCATCACGCGTCCGCGTTCGGCCCCGTCCGAGAAACCCTCCGCGACCCGGAGCCGACTTCCGTGCGAGCCAAGAGGGAGTGGGTGGAGTGGGGGAAGAGCCTGGAACGCAAGGAAAGCTTGGAACAAATCGTGAAGCTCATTGAATTTCTATATGGTTTTTCGGCTGAACGCAAAGGACATCGGAAACATCGGACAAATCACAAATCCCTTCAACCATGGCGGTCGATCCTCAGGGATCTTTCCATCTTTTGGCCTTTTTGGACTGTTCTGTTGCAGCTTCCGTTGACCTTTGTTTTGCATTTATTTAGGGGATCGTCTTTACTTTGGGAGGTTGAAACCAGCTACTGTCGAATACCATGGCCCATATGCTCTAGGTCACTATGTCCATATCATGTGATCATAATATATATATATATGTGATTATATGTGTGCAACTTGGGTTTCCAAGGGCAACATGGGTCTTTGGCACCGTGACGTTTGGTACATTTTGGTACCGTGTATATGCGGACTTGCTGGTGTGGTTTGCAACACGGACCTGTTTCGCTTGGGGTTGGCACAAAAGGGATGCTTTGCATATCATCATATCTTCACTTCACGTGCTGGGAGGCCAGCTTGATCAGCTTCCAAGAAACCGTTCAATGAGCAATTGCTAACCTCCACTCATCGGTGACTCCTTTTGCAGCTTCTCGGCATAGGGAGGGGGTCATCAAACACTTGGGTGGCGGGCATTTCGTTTCCAGCACCTGGCGTTCTAGTGTTTGGACTCAAGTGCAGGTTGAAGCTAATTTCGTCGTGTGCGTGTGCGAGATCAGTTGACATGAGCTGGAGTTGACATGATCTACCAACCTCAAACGAGTCCCGGAAAAACATCGTTGGACAAAAAAACATCAGGTGGCCCAAACGAACCAATTCACCGGGTGGCCGGACACCGAAAACACCTAGCTCCACGCAGCCGGACACTCGTTTTGCCTCAAGGCTCCACCGCTTCGTTGACCTGCCGCAGATGCAAAGGGAACACCATGGAACACCGGTGGACAGAAAAGGAGGCAGGATGCGCAGGAACCACAAGAAGAGGAAGAACAGATGTTGGTGTACCGAGCCTGAAAGCAATCATTGATCGATACATCAGGTGCTTTTGACCACTAAGGACTTCCGCGTTTGAGAGAAGTCTGCCCATTTTTTGCGCTTCCAGCCATGCTGAAAGTGGATGAAAGTGGACTTCCCAGCCTTCACGAACTGCACTAGATGGTTTGCGTATTGGAAATGGAACGCATGAAAACAGCAAACTTTCCTCAAACTCAAACAAAGGAGGAAAAAGAGGTAAAACATGGTTTCTGCAATTGAAAGGTGCCAAAAACTGCTGCTGGAAAGCAAGAACTTCGTTCTGGAGGGTTGGACATTTTGCCTAGTAAATGCACACGCAATAAAAGAAAGCGCACAGTGCCCAATGAGCCCACCACCACAAACACTTGCCCAAAGTGGCAAATTCTACATACATCGGAAAGTAGTGTTCACTGTGTTCACCATAGGTGCCCGGATTTCACCATAGGTACCTCTGCTCAAAACCCGGTAGACTGCATCTCCGCCAGCTCTAGCTCCAACTCCCGAGCCGGGAGCCACCCGTTTCACTCAGCCAAGGTGCCCACAGGTTCCATTCACCGCTCCTTTCCACCTCAGAGAGACCACCAGCACGAGAGACGCGCGGCAACGCGCCGTGAGACGAGACGAGATGCGGTGCGAGACCGCCGATGTTTCTCCCAAAGACCATCTCGTCAAACTCACACTTGCCATATTTTGTTGCCATGTGTCGAAAAAGAAAGGAACCATCTGAGATTCTGATCTCAAGAATGGACGACAGCTCATGACAGCTCAATTCCTAGAAAAGAGCAGTCTTCAGGCCTTCTTTCCTGAACAATACAGGACTCAAGAATGGCGGGTGCAAGAGATGGTGATGGTGCAAATGGAAGGGAAGGCTTTAAGTTACAAACTCAATTAAATGAGCACAACAAAGTTCACGGGTGGGATGACATGCTGAGCTCTGGGGATGGCATGCCTTGAGATGATTCTTCTCCAAGCCCCAAGCTCCTTGGGTCTATCCTATTGCCAGGGCCCAGTGGATGATGATGGTTTGGTTCCAGGCCTTGTCTTTAAAAAATAACATCGTGATTTGCTTGTTTCCTGGTCCGGCTACACAGGTGTCCTGTTGGACCAACCCGTCCGCTCCCGTTCGCTCTATTCATCATCCCGTGGGCACCCCGACGCCCAACTCCGCTGCAACGTCCATGCTATCGCTGCAAAACTGCGGACGCCCTGGCTTTCGGGCAAAAAGGCACGTGTGGCTGGTTGGTCAAATTGCTTGGTTGATCAGTTGGTTGGTCAGTCGATCCATTGGATGATCAGTTGGTCATAGTTGGTCAGTATGTTGCTGGGTTTCTGCCTGTTCGACTTGGTAGCTTTGAGTGGAAACTACTCCATTGGCTCCTTTGGTAGCATCATTGCCTGCAATCTCGGAGCCATCTATATTGGGGTATTTCGGTCAAACGGAAGCACCATGCATTCACTTGCAGCTTCCTTTCAGGCAGGCTTTTAAACTTTTGGACTTTTGCTGCGCACGGTTCAGTGCGTGCAGTCTGCCCGTAGCGCTATGTCTGACGAGCCGGCTAGCTCACACAGAACGGATGGGTAGAGATACCAATAAGGTCTAT